TAATAATAATAATAATAATGCCCAGTTTACCTTTCTCTCCCATCAATTTACTTATTTTATCTATTGCTTATGTATAACTGCTTGTTTATGGTTTACTAACTAATTACAGCTTAATTATTAACAGTGTTGTTAACTATTCAAGGTCCAAAGTAACTTTACTATCCCAAAGGGGTAATAAGATTTACAGCTTGGTTGTACAATGTAGACCATAAATAACAGTCATGCTAAACATATTAATAGTTGCATATTACCATTTAAAAGGCTGATGGAATAAAATACTTTGTTTTATTATTATCACACAAGTACTCTGATGCAAAGTGGGACTGATTTTACTTTGAGTCAAAGATCGACTTAGCAACAAACTTTCTCTCTCCATCAGTGAGTTGAGGCAGTCTGGACTTGTTTTCTGTGTGTTTCTGTGTGCGACAGGTACTTTTACCATGATTGGTTCTGTGATGCTACCATGTTGCTAAGCAACAGTAATGAGGGGAGTCAGTTTGCTGCGGAAGCAGCCGGAGTGAATGTGTGTCGGTGCAACTTAACAAACAGGGTCACAAACAAAACAAGAACAAGCTAACATGCCTCAACTACCATGCTCCAACAAACCCCATCTACAGTATATGGAAATAATAATTCCCTACTTCAGTTAAATATGGGCGCTTCTTAATTGTTTAATTAGAGGTTTGTGATGAACTATCATTATCTTTGACAAAAGTTGTCACACAAGCATACACTCTACAGGCTGATGTACAGGAGAGCAACAATGTTATCTACGATTCAGACTAAAACTGAACAATTACGTTATATTAAATCATAAATCAATGTTTCATTTGCAAAAATAAAACTCACAATTCATCATTTAGACACTTGGGCAATCATATTAGGAGTTCAATAATTTTGTTGTTCTCAATGTCAGCTTCATTTACTTAGCTGCTATTGATAATACAATTCCTTTTTTTCTTAGAGTCTCATTCAAAGTAAATGCAAGAGTTCTTTAACTTTAACAAAGTTTCTTTTTGTTTTTTCTCCTTCGGGCACTGAAAAACGTCAGTTCATCTCTTTTCTTGATTGCTTCAAAAACCGCTTGTTGCCATTCTCCAACAACTCATAGTGATGAAACTCTCTCTCTCTCTCTCTCTCTCTCTCTCACACACACACACACACACACACACACACACACACACGCTGTGAACTCATGGTCATGAGATGCACCCAGATGGACAGATGCCACACTGTTACTCTGATAAATGACTCATATTTACATAATAATCTGTTTTTATCTCCACAACCACAAAGCTTCACTCGCGACAAATATCTGCAACTACTTGCTGAGAAGTCGTCAACTTTTCTGAAGTCCGTTAAATCGAACTATTTCACTTCTTATGTCTGTTTTGAGAGTGTGAATTCTTTAAAAGTTGGTTTTGTCAGGATTATTGTTAAACTTGTTTAAATGTAAACACTGTTCTAATCTAAATCTGAACTTATTAACAGCAAAACAACCAAACTAAAATCACGCCTGTTTGTAGTTTATTGGTCATATTTTGTGATAAATTGCATAAAAGTTGCAAATGTAACAGTTTTGTGTTGTGCATGGACGTTCTACATAAAGCTGGACAGCTGGAGCTGGAGACGTCACGTTTTGCAGATCTCCCTGAGCTCCGTCCTGTCGGTGCAGATGGATCAGGTTGGACAGCACAGAGTCCAGGTGGTGGGACGCATACCGAGTGGGTCAGTAGAACTGGGTTACTCTTTCTTTGTTTTTGTCAGTCGGCACGCAATAAATACACTTGTTCTGATTTTCAGCTGCTATATCTTCAGCAAAATGCAACATTACTGCTGTTGTTTTAACCTTTTGAAGCCTCACTTTGACAGAAAACCAGTAAAATAAGACAACTTCTTTCTCTAGAAGTTTATAATGTAGCTTCTTTTTTATTAATAATAATAACAGAGGTGTAGAATACCTGCCATTCATGGTAAGATGAAGGCAACTTAACAGTTTTTAATGGCTGAGGAGGAGCTTTCTTAGTTTATATCTTATGTTTAAAGCAGGGGTGTCCAAAATGTGGCCCAGGGGCCATTTGTGGCCCCTGAACTGATTTTGTGAGGCCCCAGAGTTCAGCTCAAGAATTATACTAATTTGTTTACAAATCTGACCCCCAGGAACAGGTGTTTGATGTAGATGGAGACTTTCTATTTATTATTAGGGCAAATTCATCACAAAGTAAAATCTTATAATAAAAACATATTGGCAACGATACAGATTATTTGTCTTTTAAATAACCAGGCTCGTAGCTTTTTCCACACCTATCTAGTGACTTCTACTCAAAAGTTGATTTTACTGCACTCCAATCTGCTTTTAATTAATTTGTTAAATTCGTCTAAATACAAAAAGCATTTTCAACAGAAGAGTGACTTCCTGATTTTATGGATTAGAATTGACTAAATTGGGTTATTTATTCCCCAATTGAAACCTAGAAAATTGCTACATTCCTTTCAATAAGGGAAATCCTGCAAAACACTTTTAGAGTTCTGGATCTTGATTGATTTACTCATCCATTTCCAACGATAAACCTGGCTACTTTATTTGTTTAATTAAAGTATTCAATGCTTAGTTTATTGTTGAACAGGTAAAGGAAAAAATATTTTTGGCCCTCAAGTCCTTCTGATTTTATGATTTTGGGCCAGGTGACAAAATGTTTGGACACCACTGATTTAAAGCATGTATAATGACCCAATTTTGAAACTGTTAAAAAAAACGTTAAATTAGATGCAGTTATTTGAGTTTTTGTTAAGACCTATAAATGTTTGCTTCTTTTATACAAAAATAAAGTCAAAGAAATCAAGTCCAGACTTACTCTGCTCTCGCCTGCTCACAGCAGGAGCGTCGCTGTGAGATGCCTTCTCACATCTAAAAAAAAAAACACTTTTAAAGCAATGCAGAGATCTGGGTTTGAGTTTGCAGGATGAAAAAAGATGAAGTGCCAGACTGAAAGGAAGCAGAGCAAAATGGTTGCAACTCCACGATCGCCCACCTGTCATGGCAACAGGTGACATACACTGCACAAGTGTTTCTGTAGCTCAACGGTTTTGCTCAGATCAGTTGAAGATGACTGAATGTGAAATTTTAATGCTGAATCAAACACCAAACTCTCCATTCACAATTACACTTGGACCAACCTAAGAAAAATAAGTGAGCAGTCTAACTGCTAACACAGCCAAAAACCCTCTAAAAATAAGTCTGAAGATTAAACCCACCATCTGTCGCACATCAAAACACCAAAACCGTCACCACAGGCAGTCTGGCTGGGCTCAGAGGATCAGTGAATTCCTGTCAAACTCTCTGTTTGCTCCAGTTTATTCTCTCCTCAGTCTGTTTAAACTGATGGGTGCAGCACAGCTCTCCCTCCCCTGTTCTTGTCTTGAGTCCTAAAATATGCATTTT